AAGTATGTGAGATGGAGCTTCAAAATCTTAGCCTCCAAGGAGAAACTTGGTTTTACCCTCTCCAAGACAGACTTGTTTGTTTTCTTGGTGGTCCATGCATGGTATGTATGTGAAGCACTCTTCTTCAGCACCACAGCTTGAAGGCATCTATTCTTCTTCTATCATCCTTAGTCATTGTCAGCTCTCTGATGCATACCAAGTTAATTGTGAAGATCATGGCCTGGATCAGGCACACCTTAGTCTCTAAACTGACACTGTCGCTCTTCAGCATGCTGGAGAACTCCCTGACAGCAGATTTTCTTAGTGCAATTCACCTTTTGCGTTCCTGACTGTTGGTACCAAGAGTGTTGATTGTCGAGCTGAGCAAACTCTAATTGTTAACAACCTCAATCTCTTATCCATCTATCATGGTGCTGCCAGTTAGCCCAGTGGTAAGAATCCCAAACCCCAAATCCACTGCCGCTAGAAGATGAATAAATGAAAGCTCTGAGTGGCGTGGTCTGGTGAGCACGAGGGAAGTTTGTGCCTGTTTTTATGTTGACTACAGAAGCAAAAGAGACCATAGATGAGCACACTTTAGGCTGCTCAGATGCTTTAAAAGGTCATAGCAATGAGAAATGCAATTTAAACATTGGATTTAAGCTAAGACATAATGCTGTATAAATGTTTCCCTACAACACTTGATTGTGCTTGAGTAAACTCTATACTTGGACCAGGAGGCAGTCGATGAGATGGATTGACTCAGTGACTGGGGCAATGGAGGTGTCAGACACGATGAAGTTGCCTCAAGGTAGAGCAGGGTTCAGAGCTGTTGTATATGGGGTCACCATGAGTCGGAGTCGACTCGACGACACACAACAACACCGACAACATCTCAAGCCATCGTGCATCTGTCATTTTGCCATAGTGTGATGGCTTGCATGTTGCTGTGATGCTGGAAGCCTTGCTGCCAGTATTTCAAACCCCAAAGAGTCACCCATGTTGGATGCGCTTCAGCAGAGCTTCTGGACAAAGATTAAGAAGCAAGACCGAGGGAGCTCTGGTGGCTTAGTGGTAAGACGCTGCACTGCAATCCCAGAGGTACACGGTTCAAATCCACCAGATGCTCTGCTGGAGAAGGAGGGGGCAATCTCCTCCTGTACCAGTCAGATCTGATTTGACGGTACACGTAAAAATAATACAATAAAAAAAAACAAAAGAAGAAGCAAGACCGGTCCTCCACTTCTGAACTGACAAACCTGCAGAAACCCTGTGTATAACAGAGCACTGCTGGAAATAGTTCTTGAAGATGAGACCCTGAGGTTGGAAGACACTCAGAATCCCTGTAGTAGCATTGAAAGAAAGGAGCTCGTGTGGCCTAGTAGCAAGAAGCTGCGCAACAGTCCCCAAGGCACGTGGTTCGAGGCCACCAGCAGCTCCACGGGAGAAGGATGGGCAATCTCCTCCATGTGATGAACTGCCTCTGAAAACCCAGTGGAGGATCAGCTGTGAATCAGTTCTGACTCTACGGTACACACAACATAATAGTATTGAAGGAAGAAGTTCAAGGTATGTTGAAGGATTTGGCAAAAAGTAAGTCTCCAGGATAGAATACCAATTGAAGTGTTTCAACAAACAGGTGAGTTGATAGGCATGTTTACCAGACTTTGTTAACCCTATTTGTTCCTGTTTCAAGCAAAAAGTTCCAATTTGTTGGATCTTCCAAGCGAAGATCCAAGAGATTGTAGAAATTATTGGACCATATTAATATCATATGCAAGTAAAATCTGGCTGAAGATTATTTTTAAAACAGTGGGAATATTACCTCGACAGGAAACTGCTAGAAAATCAAGCTGGATTCAGAAGAGACAGTGGAATGAGGGATATCGTTGCTGATGTCACATGGATCTTGGCTGAAAACAGAGTGCTAGAAAGATGTTTTTTATTGATTATGCAAAGACAGTGGATTATATAGATCTCAACAAACTGCCTAACAATGAGAAGAATGGGAGTTCTACAATACTTAATTGTGCTTATGTGAAACCTCTATCTAGACCAAGAAACAGTTGCCTGAACAAAATAAGGGAACAGTACATGGTTTAAAATCAGGAGAGATGTGCATCAGGGTTATGTTGAATTGCATTGGGAAAGGTGGCTGTGGGGGACCTCTCCAGAGTCCTGAAGAACAGTGACAGTCTGGAGATTAAGATGCACCTGATCCAGGCGATAGTCTTCGCGATTGCTTGCTATGTGTCAGAGAGCTGGACAGTGACTAAGGATGATAGAAAGAGAGTTGATGCCTTTGAGCTGTGGTGCTGGAGAAGAGTGTTGAATATACCATGGACTGCTAGGAGAACAAATAGGTTCATCATGGAGAAGGTGAAACTAGGTTGCTCCTTGGAGTCAAGGATTCTGGAGCTTCGTCTGACATACTTTGGACATGTTGCAAGGAGGGATCAGTCCTTGGAGAGGGACGTCATTCTTGAGAAGGTGCAGGGAAAGCGCAGGAAAGGAAGACCCTCAATGAGATGGATTGACTCAGTGACTAGGGCAATAGGGGTGGGTGTGTCAGAGACAATGGGGTTGGCACAGGATAGAGCAGGGTTTAGGGCTCTTGTACATGGGGTCACTTTGAGTTACAAGCAACTCGATGGCACCTAACAACAACATTCAGTCTGTGTGCTGAGCAAATCATTCAAGAAACGGCACTATGTGAAGAAGACTGTGGCATCAGAATCATAGGACGAGTCGTCAACAACCTGATTTACGCAGGTGGCACAGCCTTACTTACAGAAAGTATGGAAGACTTGAAGCCTTTAGTGCAGAAGATCAGTGACTACAGTCTTTAATATGAGTTACATTTAAACATTAAGCAAACACAAGTCTTTACCATTGGACCAATTGGGCAACATCATGATGGTGTTATTGTTGATTGCCATCAAGTCGAGCATGACTCATAGCCACCCTATGAACCAAAGCCTGAAGCCTTTCTAGAACTGTCGTGATTTATCAAAATTCAGAGAGTTTCCAGAGGCATGTGGTTTAGGAAGTGGATGCCACTCCTGATAGACGGAGAAAAGATTGAAGTTGTCAATGATTTCATTTTACTTGGATCCACAATCAGTACCCAAGACAATACCAGTCAAGAAATCAAAAATGTTGCACTGGGAAAATCTGCTGTCAAGAACCTCTACAGTATTAAGGAGCAACAATTAACTCTATATAAACTGGTACTTTTCCTTGATTTACATTAGTATTTTCTTTTTTAAAAATTTTTTTTCATTAGTATTTTCTTAATTGAGATTTTAATGAAAGTTAACTCTCAACAATTAACTCTGTATATAAAGTACTACTGTTAATATGAATGTAAATTATTTGTTTGTTAATGGGCACTTAGGTTGCTTCCAACTCCTTGCTATTGTGAACAAAGCCGCTATAAACATGGATGTGCATATATCTGCTTGGTTGGCAGTTATGGTCTCTTTAGGGTATATTTCCAGTAGTGGAATTGCTGGATCAAATGGTATCTCTATTTTCAACTTTTTGAGTAGTACCTTCCTGAGTGGTTGCACCCTTTTACACTCCCACCATCAGTGAATAAGGTTCCCAGTTTCTCCACAACCTTGCCAGCATTTGTTGTTTGCTGCTCTGTTGAATTTTGCTATTCTAACTGGGGTGAGATGACATATCTCAGTTGTTTTGATTTGCGTCTCTTAGAGCTAGGGATTTTGAACATTTCTTGTGTTTGTTTGACATCTGAATGTCTTCTCTGGTGAAGAACACAATGGAATACAATGCTGCATTGAAAAACAAAGAACTCATGAAATATACAAAATGGGTGACCCTGGAGGACATTATACTGAGTGAAATATCTCAGTCACAAAAGGACAAATACTGCATAATGCCACTGTTATATAAAACAGGACTGACATCAAGGTTGGGGGGAAACGAAAAAAAAAAAAAAGAGGGGATAAATAATGTACACTGCATTGAAACAGATGGAGAGAACTGCTTAAAAGGAAAATTATTAAGTATTATTTACATGACAAGAATCCAGAATAAGAGCTGTGTAGTAAAGTAGACTAGGAGGAGGGAAAATGTACAACAATGAAAGAAATTCTTTTTCCCCAAAGGGAAAAGTGAACTGGGGGTTGGGGGAGCAGGGAGGAAAATGCGCAACAATGAATGAATGGAAATGCATGTTCTCTATAAACTTTCATTAAAATCTCAATTAAGAAAATACTAATGTAATTCAAGGTAAAGTACTAATGGAGCAAAACATCACGTGTGCCTGCTCCAAGCCCATGGTATTTTCAGTTGCTTCCTATGCATTTGAAAGTTGGGCAGTGAATGAGGAAGACTGAAGAAGAATCGACGTCTTTGAATTGTGTAGGAGAAGAGTATTGACTATTCCATGGGTTGGCAAAAGAATAAACACATCTTGCCTTGGAGGAAGTGCATCCAGAGTGAGAATTTGAGGCACAGCTTCACCTCACACACTTTGGACATGTTGCCAGGATGGGCAGAAGACATCATCTTGGGGAAAATAGAGTCAGTAGAAGAGAGCAGGACTCCAGTTGAGACAGATTAACACACTGGCTGTGACAAAGGGTTAGAGCATGGCTGACATTGTGAGAACGGCTCAGGGCAGGGCAGGGTTCAGCTCTGCTGTTTCAGGGTCACTGTGAGTCACAGTTGGCAGCACTCAATGACAACAATCTCTTACAGAGCATGGTTTCAAGAACAGTTTGGTTCCGATTGTTTGAGGATGGCCTTCACTCTAACAGTGATATTCTCATTGTTAATACCTGTTTAGTTAAACAGGTTCACCCTGGAGAAGGTGAAATCAAGCTGCTCCTTGGAAGCAAGGATTCTGAAGCTTTGTCTGACATACTTTAGACATGTTACAAGGAGAGACCAGTCCTTGGAGAGGGACGTCATGCTTGGGAGGGTGGAGGGACAGCATAGGCAAGGAAGACATGGGATGAGAGGGATGGATTCAGTGACTAGGGTAATGAGGGTAGGTGTGTCAGAGACAAGTAAGATTGGAATACGATAGGCAGGGTTTACTGCTGTTGTACAAAGTTGCTATGAGTCACAGGTGACTTCACATAGCAACAACAATAAGCATTTATAGCAAATGTACAGAAACTTTATTTAGATATTATTACACTTAGCATTATTTACATTGGTGGTTTGTCAAGTCTTGCATGGTTTTGTTACAGTTTAAATTCTGAAGTTAAAGAATTTATATATATAATAGGGAAAATTTAATAATTTTTTGCAAACATGACTACCTTTTTAAATCAGATATCAAATTAAGTATTTTGATACACCTCAACCTTCTGAATTTCAGCTATGGAGAAGAAGACTACCATTAGTAATAATTGGATTTTTACAAAGAAAATTTCCTTTATTTTTCTCAAAAAAAACCCAAACAACAAAACAAACAAAAAAAACCCCAAAACCAAAAACCAGTACATTTGGTTGAGAAAACTCTTTAGTCAAACCTGATCCTTCTCTTTGAGAATAATTAATAGGACAGATTTCTTATATAGTAAGAAAATAAATAGATATGATTTCAGAAGGAATGCCAGCAGCTGCCAGGGAATACCGTAAGATGTAAACTCTATTAAGTTTGCTTATTGTGTTTATTACATATTTTAGGTTTATTTTTAAGTTTATTATATTTACTATCTATTTTAAGTTTATTGTAAGTTTGCTGACCGACGTTAGAAGCTTCAAGAACTTTAATAATAACTCGTATTCAGGCTAAGGGAAGAATATCTACCTAGGGAGTAGAGGAAAGGAAATGGTTTATGTAAAAGAAATTCATTTATGCACAATGACCTATTGGAATAAACTAGAAAGTTGTCAAATTATCTAGAGGATCTCCATCTGAGATTATCACGAGATTGGTAATGTTAGTTCTTTTTCTAAGTCCTCAAACCCTTATTATTGTTTTTCTATTACAGAAATTGATGACGTGGATGCCATTATACCTGCAGTAAAGAAATTAAAAGTACTTTCATACTGAAAGCAATTCAAATCATTTTTACTGTGTAAATTGCATTTTTAGACAATCTGAATATTTTGTATGGCTACTGTGATTTGGAAACAAGACTTATAAAATGTGCTTGTGCTCAGAATTCACTTTTTGCTTGCACTGGACCATTCTCTTCATACAAGGTTTTTGTGATTGGGTGTTTATTGTTTTTTGTTTTGTTTAACTTTTGAGATTCTTACATAGAAAGTATGAATTAGTTGGATTTTAGGGTCCTGTTGTTGTTTCTTAGGGAGAGCTCTGGTGGCCTGGTGGCTGGGAATTGTGCTCCTGACCCAAAGACACCACCAGCTAGCTACTCCATGAGAGAAAGGTGGACGGTCTCCTCCCAGGTCATTTATAGCCTCTGAACATCTGCAAATGGTCAGCTCTGAGTTGCTTCCCACTTGACAACACATAACAACAGTCATTTTAAGCAGTTGTTGAGTGGCTGAAATGTAAGGTTCTTTTAAGCAATGTGAATAAGTAAAAGAAAAACTTAGGGGAAGATATTGCAAGTAGTAGGACGACTGTGTTGATGTCAGGGACACAGAAAGGCCAGTGACTCTCTGAAGGCTCAGTAGCAGGAAGCAGTTGTTTCCCTGTCATTTGTTGTGTCCCATCCAGCCGGACTTGATCCAGAGCTGGCCTCCTCAGTGGGTTTCCAGAGGCAGTAAATCACATGGGAGGAGATTGCCTGTCTGTCTTCCAAGGAGCAGCTGGTGGATTCGAACCACATGCCTTTGGGTTGGCCGTGCATCTCCTTACCACTAAGCCACCAGAGCTCTGTGGTTGCTTCCCTGACAAGGACTCAATCAAACTTTCCATTAACAGCATGTTTATGGCAACTGCCATTTCAAAGCAGGAGGAAGAAAAGGAAAGAAAAAGAAGGACCATTATGAGAGTAGTAGGAAATGAATCATGGGTCAAAAGAGATGAATAGATAGAAATCCCTCATTTTTTTAAAAAAAGGATCTTTTGATAGTCTTGATTGTAATGTGTTTTTCAATAAGGTCATGAGAGCTTAAATAAAGTTTTTTTCCCCAATAGAAGAATCCTCTATGCTTCATTTGTATTACTCACAAATGATGAATGAGATTCCCTTCCTAATCTGAGCCTCCTGGGCAGCTGGTTTACCCTTGCTGTGTGTTACCATTCCTGTTCTTGCTACTTGGTGTGTATTCCCTGTTAACAACAATTTCATCCTCTTTTTTTTTTCCCTGCCCACTATGACAGTGAATTGAGTTATGGGTTTAAAAGAGAACGACTGGATTTTGTTGTTGTTGTTCTTACAATTTTAGTTTTTTCTTGTTGAGAATATACAAAGCCACAAAGACACAAATTTCAATAGCTTAATTCCTGTACAGGTTGGTGACACCGATTCCACTTTGACGGGTGGGCTGACACTTGTCTATTTTTTCACCATCTTTATTGGTACTTGGTTTAGGGTTAGTAATATTCAGTGGGGCGTATGATACATCCTCGTACAGTTTGCTGGCGCTTTATTATTTCCAGAGTGCTCTTGTGAGGTAGAGAAGGCAGCCATCAGTTGATCCTTTTGACTCTGTCATTCAAAACAGGAAGCCAGCAAAAAAAAAATTGATTGTACCCTGACCACGTGCAATCCACTGTCTTGGATGGTGGAATGAAAAAAAACAATTCGGTGCTTATAGTGTAATTGGACACTTAACACAAACATTAGGTATCAAAACATACTAAAGTGGTTGTGTGCATATAACTTTAGTAGACGTCTAGTGGGATCCCTCCACCCCAAGTAAATGCTTTGAGGCAGAGAATTGTTAATATGGGAAATGCACCTTATGGATAATAAATACTGCCCATCGTGGAGAGAGGTCATTTCAGCTGGGGCTGGCTTAATGTTAGAAGCTGGGCTGAGATAGTTCTTAAAGGGTGAGGAGGGTCTGAACCATTCAGGTTTGAAGTATGTGTACCCAGCTAGAGAAAATGGGAGAACAAATCATGCTGGGGTCTAAAAGTCAAACTGGAGGGCACGCGATTCTAGGACAGACAACAACAAAAGGCAACTTAAGTAGGCTTTGATTTTAGAATTCCTAAGTGGGAACAAAGTTTGAAATGCAAAAGCACTTGTTTAAACATACAATTTACTTTTCACACGTTATACATGTGCACCTACTTCTCACACATTATTCAGGTGGACCAGCCATCCTGTAGAAGAGTGGATGGGATTTGTGGGACCCTATCCGAGAAAGTAAACTTCCTTTGGTTGAGCATCTCGTCATCCGTTGTCAGCAGAAGGTCAGATGTATGCCTGAGTTTAGAATTCAACCTGCCTTTTCCTTTGGAAATAATGCCATACATGCTGGCTTGGCTTCAGGCCATCACACACACACACACACACACACACACACACACACACACACACACACGAGGTATATCAGTGTATCTCAGTCACGGTACTGTTGTCATAGGAAAAGGCCATCCGATTCAGGAACACATTTCTAGGTACACAAGCAACAGAGGTGGCGGGCTGAGAGTCTTTGGTATTTGTGCTGTGGGTCACTTTTAACATCCATAAAAGAAGCTTCATCCTGTCTTCAGCAATCCCAGGAAGGAACAGGAGTCCTCTCCCAATGTCAGACGAGGACTCCTTGACTCCATACAGGTCAGTGCTCAATCAGACGATCTAGACTCCTGGATCCAAAGTGGAGCTGTCCCCACTGGGGTTCTGATGGTGATTTACTGGACACAAATAACATTCTGTCTGGATTGGAATAATAGAATCCATTCAAGAAAGGGCAGCCGAAGCCTGCCTCTTCCTGGTTACTATCCAGTCATTGGAAAAAGTAAACGTTGACACAGGAAGGTATGCATGTATTTTCAGATGACTGTTCGGATTTTAATTACAAAATGTACACACACACACACACACACACGGTTGAACTAGCGCAGGGAAGGTGCGCGTGGGCCACGTTCTCAGCTTCTGGGCTGTCCATCTAGAGTTAGCTCGTACCTGTAACACACGTGGGTTTGGGCTTGTTAGTACTGAGTGCTGCAGTAGTATCCCTGGCCACCTGGGCCTCTGTGGGGTCCGCAGAGCTCCGTCCTCCCCACCCTGGTAGCCTGCCAGGGTTCTCACCTGCCAGGGTTTTCACCTGCCAGGGTTCTCACCTGCCAGGGTTTTCACCTGCCAGGGGTCTCACCTGCCAGGGGTCTCACCTGCCAGGGTTACGTCTATTGCTTGTGGCTGTTTTTAGTATCATGGAATTGCTTTTCCAAACCCCTAGCAACCCCATGCACTGGAACAGAACCGCCCCATTGGGTTTCTACAGAGGACTCTGGAGAAGCTGGAGCTGCGGTGGAGGGCCAGAGTAAAGAGGAGTAGCTCAGCAAGATGGCCTGACCCGGTGACTCTGTCAGTGGACATGTCAGAGATGGCGGGAGGGGCACAGGGCAGAGCAAGCTTCAGAGCTGGCCACAGGGTCCCTCTGCATCATGCTCGGCTCCACAACACCTTGTATTTGCGTTTATAAGAAATAAACACTAGGGAGCTCTGGTGGCCTAGTGGCAAGAAGATGCACTGCAATCTCAAAAAGATAAGCGGTTGGAATCCACCAGATGCTCTGCTGGAGGAGGGGCAATCTCCTGTACCAGTCAGATCTGATTTGACGGTACACACACACAAAAATAGTAACATTTAAAAAAAGAAAAATATCGCAGGAGTTAAACACCTAAATAAGTGGAAGCTGTCTCCTTGAGTAGCAAAGAAGCTGAACGTGAACTTAAAAGGGAAGAAGTTTGAAGAGTGAGTACAGGCAGCTCTTCGGGATAATGCCTTGAACGGATTAGCAGTGAGCTCCTGGGACAGGAAACTTACCACTGTGAAAAGCCCCTGATCAGGTCTTCTTTGGATAAGTCAATCAGCACCTGGAGAAGCACACAGTCAGGTCAGCTCTCCTCGGACTGCCCCAATGGACACACAGTGAGATAAACACGAAAATGTTGTGTATGGACGTTTGATGCTGTCGCTTTCCTTCTTTTAATTTTAACACGAATCCCTCCAGAGGGACAGTGGAGACACTGGCCTCCGTGTTCTGGGTAAAGGCAAATTGCTATTTGAAGTTAATTCGGTAATCCGATCAGTTACCTCTCACCCCGTTCTTTTTCAGGTTTATTTATGAATATTATAGAAAGAGCTACTTGCCCCTATTCATTAATTGATTATTAATTTTAAGCAAGACACCACAATTGCCTTATCTGTAAAATGGGGATAATGCCATCTACTTGTTAGAAGAAGGTTTGGAAGCAGGAATGGCATCTACTTCCTAAACAACATGCCTCCAGAAACTCTATGAATGTTGATAAATGTCCACAGTTGTAAAGGGGCTTCAGGCCTTTTGTTCTTAGGGTCTCTATGAGTCGTGCTCAACTCAAAAGCAATCAACAACTTGTTAGAAGAGGCAGCGCTGATGGCTTTATGGTCACCACCTGTTCCTCAGAAGACAGATGGACAATCTCCTCTCCTGTGATTTACAGGCTCTGAAAACCCACTGAAGGTCAGCTAGAGTCGGTTCTGACACGGGAATACATACGGCAGCATTTCATAGAAGCGGACTTAAATAAGGATAAGGATTGATTAAACTATAATGCTTCAAACTGTCATTCAAAAACCATTCTTCTGCCTCTTCTTTTGACCTCCCTGGGAATTGTACTCTAGTTCTGCTTTCGTTTAAATCCTATCAAGCATTGGAATCTTGTAATCAGATTTACACAAGGCCATATTTATCAAAACAAGATTAAGCCCCGTGGCACATGGCCAAATGCTTGTGGAATGAGTGAATCTGGACAGATTCCAGAGTTTGTTAAAACTGGGTTTACCATTTGAATTTATGCTTTTACAGTCAATTAGGTTCAAAAATATAAACAGATCTCCCAATAAGACTACAGACGTACTTTTACAGAGGTTTTACAGATTTGGTTGCAGACGACTACAAAAGAGCAAGTATCACAATAAAAGTGGATCAAGTGATTTGTTTGTTTCTTAGTGTGTATAGAAGTTGTGTTTATATTACCCTGTAGTCTACTATGTGTGAAATCACATGCAAAAAGTCTGAAATGTAATAAAATTAACAAAACAGGGACAGACACAGAGTGAGCACATGCTGTTGGGAGAAATGGCAATAGACTTGCTTGTCAGAGTCTCCACAAACCCTCGATTTGTAAAAATCACAATATCTGTCTCAGTCACAAAAGGACAAATATTGCATAGGCCCACTGTTGTAAAAGGGGACTGACGTCGGGGTTGAGGGAAGATAGAGAAGAAAGGGAGGAATGATGTGAGGGAGAGAACTGATTAAAAGGGACATATGAATAGGTATTCTTGTCATTACAGGAGTCCAGAGTCAAGGCTGAATAGTGGAGTGGATTTGGGGGGCGGGGTGGATTGCATAACAATGAAAGAGTTTTTCTTTTCAATGAGAAGAGTGAAAAAGGGGGGAGGCGGTAGTCAGGGAGAAAAGTGCAACAGTGAATGACTGGAAACCCTAAGTTTCTGTAAACTTTCATTAAAATTTATTTTAAAAATATCACAGTATCGATCACGTACAATTAAGCACAGTAAAAGGAGGCATCGCTGTGCATCCTCCTGGAAGTCAGGGCCCTGTCCCCACTGGCTGTACTATGTCCCCTCACGCCTGGTCCACCCAGCAAGTCCATGAGGCCCAGGCCCTCCTCCAATACTCACTTTTCCAAGCTCCTTCCTCCGGTGTGAGCCAAGCGGCCTGCTGTTTTTCACTGCAACATCTAGCGATCTTTTCTGTACTTCTTCCATGGAGACAAAGAATTCAAATCTTTTAAGAAACAAAAATCAGGAAAAGAGATGCGCATATTTCTACTGTTTTTGTTGAAAATCTAAAGCACTTGATCCATTCCCCTACTTTTTAACTAGAAGTTAAGGACTAGCGAGCAGCCCTCAAACATTATTGGCTCATAACAAGCACTCAGTACATCAGCCATCACTACAGATGATTATCATCCTGTGGTCTCAAACTCAGAAAGTTTTAGGAAGCTATTTGCCTCTCTGAGGCAAATAAAAAGATTTTTAAAAAATCTTTTGTTTTTGTTGTGTACCATAAAACTGGAACCGACTCATACTGGCCTTCCGGTGGGTTTTCAGAGACAGTTAATCAAACGGGAGGAGATTGCCCACGCTTCTGTGGAGCAGCTGGTGGCCTCGAACCGCGTGTCTTCGGGATTGCTGTGCAACTTCTTGCCACTAGGCCACCAGACCATGAATTCCAAATGATTGTGGTTGTTCAGGCAGAGAACTGCCCTTTAGTGTGTTTTGTTGGTGTTTTTATGTTTTGTGGTTTTTTTTTCAGAGAGAGAGAGTGTGTGTGTGTGTGTGTGTGTACCATCAAATCAGAGCTGACTGGTACAGCAGGAGATTGTCCCTCCTTCTCCAGCACAGCATCTGGTGGAGTCAAACCACACACCTCTGAGATTGAAGTGTAACTTCTTGCCACTAGGGCACCAAAGCTCGCCACCCCCTCGTGTTTTCAAGGCTGTGAATCTTTACAGAAGCCAACAGGCACACCTTCCTTCTGTGGATTGGTTAGTAGGTTTGAACATCCAACCTTTCAGTTACTTGCTAAGCACTTAACCATCATGCCACCAGGCTCCGTAAGAGAATTACACTCCTGTCTTGTTTTTCTCCAATCTCTGTTTTGGCTTCTTCAGTTTTCCTTATTCATTGTCCAACTCTCAGATGCATATGAAGCAAATGGAAATGCCATGGCTTTGAATTGTGGTGGTGGAGAATACGGAATATCCCACCGACTGCCAAGAGAACAAAGAAGTCCATCCTGGAGCAAATGCAACCAGGGTGTTCCTTGGAGGCAAAGACGTTGAAAATTCATCTCACCGACTTTGGACATGTTAACAAAGAGTGGCCAGTTTTTAGAAAAAGACATCATGTTAAAGACATCATGCTGGAAAAGGCATGCCATTCTTGCAGCTGCCTCTTTTCACTCTCACTAGAGCCTGCTCAGAGATCTGCCTCAACCCCCTTTTGAGCTGGGTTTTTGTTCATGAGCTGAAGGGTAGAAGGCTGAACAGCAAAATTTATTAGAATTGCATGGAAAATCCTGATCTGCTTCCGAGGAATAACGGAGAGAAATCTTTTTTATATGCTTTGTCATGCACTCACAAGATGCTTTTTACATTTTAGGGTTGTTGTTGTTGTTAAGTATGACTCGTAACGACCCTATGAACAGCCAACCCGAACCTGTCCTGTCCTCATCATCTCTGACACACTAGAGCCCGTTGCTGAAGTCACTGTATCAATCCACCTTGTTGCAGGTCTTTCTCTCCTTTGCTGACCCTCCATCTTTTCAAGAATGATGTCCTTTTCCAAGGAATAGCCTCACCTAGCTACCTATCCAAAGGATAAAAGAAAAAGTGTCATCATCCTTGCCTCCAAGAAACATTCTGGCTGTACTTTTTCCAAAACATATCTGTTTGTTCTTTTGGCAGTCCATGGAATATTCAGACTTTCTCCAGCACCACAGCTCAAAGCATCAATTCTTCTTCTGTCATCCTTATTCATTGTCCAGCTGTCTGAGACATAGCAGGTGATTGAGAAGACCATGGCCTGAATCAGGTGCACCTTAGTCTTCAAACTGACATCATTGCTCTAAAAAGACATTGATATCTTTTTAGTGTAAAATGTAGACAAAAATATGGTTAATATACCTATTAGTACTTGTGCTAATATCCTATTATAATGCTGAAAGAGAATTATTGTCACATGAGGTTCATCACAGAAGTCAAAGGTTGTTTCCACATAGCAATTTCAATGAATGTGTAAAGCTATCTTTTAAGAAGGAAGTTCTCATGGCCTAGTGCGTTAGGAGTTGCGCTTTCAACCCAAAGACAAGCGGTTTGAATCCACCAGCTACTCCATGGGAGAAACATGGACAATCTTCTCTGAAAACCTGCTGGGGGTTAGCCATGACTTTGTCCTGACCTGACATTCAACAGTGAATGTTGACTGAATGAAATCCTCACTAAACCCTCATGACACTGGTGAACTCAAAATGTAGCTCATTGGTTCTTAGCTATGGACCAGAGGGACAAAGTATAATCCTTTTAAAGTGAATAGCTATTGACTAAGAAGGGATCAAACTTATTAGGTACAATCTCTTACTAGACAGAGACAGGCTAGAAATATCATCTCTTAGAACCTGGGAGCAGGAAGAAGAAATGAGGACACTCTGGCTTCCGTATCTTATAGGTTATAAGGGATCAAATGAAGAAAAAAAAAATACATGAGATCTGATCTGTCAAAGGCAAAAAAATGTGATTAGAGTCACTGAGTTGCCAGTCTTGCCTTTAAGGACAAGACGATCAAGCTGTGGAGGAAGAGGTGGTGGATGTGAATTCTAACTCATCTCCCACTTACATTTTGTTGCAAGACAGAAGTGATACCAAAGACCTTAGAGTTTCGGGAGAATTTTAGGTCCTTAAATTCAAAGGATGTTTCTTTCTAACCTCTGGAATGAAATCAGATCCAACAGTATGACTAGACTTATACTGTTGTTGCCAAAGAGGCTTCATCTCAGGAAAGAGGAGTCTGCAAAGGTGTGTTTCTGGTTTGGGGCTGAGACTAGGGTGTGGCTCTGGCTCACAATAGGGTGTGAGTTGATTAGATTTGGCCTTGCCTTTAAAAAGGCTTTTGGGCCCTTAGACCTCTGGCTCTCGGGCCTGATTTCTGTGGCTCTCCCGAATAAAACAGGCTTGGAAGCAGGAATGATATCCACTTCCAAAATAAAAACCAAAAAACTTGCCTCTGGAAACTCCGTGAACTTGGAGACAAGATGAAAGTTTTACGTTCAAGACTTTCATTCATAGGGTCACTATGGGTCATCTATGACTCTAGGCACTTAACAACAACATTCCATAATCCACAGGTCTTCAACCCCTAGAAGGAGCCCTGCTGACACAGTACATATTATCTGTCTGTTAAAAGTAGGTCAGCAGTTCAAATCCAGCTGTTCTGCAGAATAAAGATGGGCAGTCTCTTCCTGTGAGGACTTACAGCTTCAGAAACTCAATGGAGGGTCAACATGCGTCAGAACTGAGTCAACAGGAGTGAGGTGAGGGGTTAATGTCTACGCACAGGAAAGGAGGAACAGTCATTTCTTCCACTAACGTCCAGAAGCTACACTTGTTCCTGTCCACCCCAGAGCCCAGGTGCACAGGGGTCACTCTGCAGACACTGGGGTGGGAATCGGGGGGATGCGATGCTGTGGACACTTACGTCTCATCAAACAGGGGCTCCAGGGTCTTCCGTCTCACCGAGGTCTTCTTACGACTCGTCCACTTCCTTTCCGGCAACAAATACACGCGGACGTAGGGGTCAGCTCCACTGGTGGTACAGGGCGTCAGGTTTCTAATGTGGTTTCAAAGACATTAGAAGAAACAAAGGCCCTTAGTTTCGAGACACTGGAAATACTGATGTGGGAGAAAGGTAGACTAGCTATTTAGCTTCAGAAGGGATCAAGGATAAAATGCCCTGTAGACTAGATGACCCACCAAAATTAAAAAGTGTGAAATTTAGAAGCCAACATATCAGATTCATCAGGTTTTAAAGACATGCATTTTTGTAAAGTTTGAGGCAGTTCATATGCTTCCCCCTCACCCTCCGAGAGAAGTTCTTGGAGAAACACACAGACCAACAGCACCAGGGAGCTCTGGTGGTTTAGTGGTAAGAAGTTGTGCTGCCAACCTAAAGAAATGTGGTTCGAATCCACCAGCTGCTCTCCAGAAGGAAGAGGAGCGATCTCCTCCCATGTGATTTATAAAGCCTCTAAAAGCAACAAGGAATGAATGGAAATGCAAAATCTCTGTAAATTTTCATTAAAAAAAATAATAAAAATTTAAAAACCCACTGGAGGGTCAGCTATGAGTCAATTTGGATTCCATGGTCTTCAAGAACAACTGGCTGCAGACAATTTGCTATGGTTGTGAGTGGGGAGAGCCCATGGCCCTTAAGCCCAGCAGCCCCAGTAAAGAACAATCAGCCCAGTGCCCCCGATGACTGTCGCTGGTCACATGCACCTCTTCCAGCTCCACTCCTCCCACTGTTAGTCACCTGCCTGTGGGAGCTGCAAGCCCTTGATCCTAGCGCCCTGTTCTGATTTCTAATCACCCACCGCTCCCCAAAGACCTTCACGTCCTAGGAACCCTGTACCTGCAGCCGTTGACCAGCACCCTGAGACAGCGCCGCAGACACACGTAGCGCACCGTGAGCTGAATCTCCCCGAGTCGCCGCTGCCGAGGGTCCCCCTCTCTGTAAGGAAAGACTCGCTCACCTCTCTTGTCCTTACAAGCACCGGCCTCCTCCCCTCAAGAGAAAAACAGGCTCATGTGAAGAATATAGAGCTCTGTGGGTTAATAACCTCGGTACGGTTCCTTTTAGTAGGAAGCCCATTCCAGTATTCACGTGTGTGTGTATCTCCTTGGCTGGAAACACACTAGAAAGTTTAGGATCCTAGGATCCAAATGAAGATATATCTATATCTATCTGATCTATATCATATCTCTCTGTAGCTCTATCATCTATATCTATCTATCTATATCTCTATGTCTCTAGCTCTATCTATATCTGTATCTATACCTATATCTATATCTGTATCTATACCTATATCTATATCTATACCTATACCATCTAAATCATCTATCTATCTATCTATCTATCTATCTATCTATCTATCTATCTATATCTATCTATCTATCTATCATCTATCTATATCTATACCATCTAAATAATCTCTCTATCATCTATGTATCTATCATCTATATATAAAATCCTGGAGAATTTTTAGGGATCTCTGGTGGCTTTGAACTGTGCAGCCAACCAAAAGGTAAGAGGTTTGAATCCACCAGCTGCTTCAAAGGAGAAAAATGGACAAAATCCTTTTGTGCAATTCAGCTATAAGTGGGTTATAACTCAAAGGTACGTTACAACAAGGCTGTACATCATTCACCGTGGGAGAGAGATGCGCGGTCTCCTCCTGGATAATTCACAGCCTTGGAAACCCAACAGAGAATCACTATAAGCTGGAACCACTATCTATCACTTTTAGGACGGTAAAGGATCAAGGATCATGATTTCTATCATAAACTTTGAAACAGTGTGCAAAAATGTATGTTTATATACATAAACATTTATAATGCTACCAAGCCCATTTTAATCTGTGGCCCTCAGGTCTGGTTTAAATTGTTTTGTTTTGTTTTTGTCAAACATTCTTCTACAAGGCATAGCACTGGTCTGTGCATTGCTGTACAGAGGTAACTCATGGTTGCTGTGATGCTAAACACTGTGACACTGATATGTCAAATGTGATAATGGTTACCCATGGTGGACAGTTTTTGGTGGAGCTTCTCGGTTCAAACAGGCTTGGAAGAAGGAGTGGCATCCACTTCTGAAATGGCTTGCCTCAGGAAACTCTATGAACAGTGCTCAGGTCTTTTGTTCATAGGGTCACTATGAGTGGTCTACGACTTGATGGCACTTAACAACAACAACTTATAATGCAAATTACAAGCATAAACCTTTGCTTGGGTCTAGACAGAGGGACTATGCCGGTCAGTTGTTCCATTCTTCAACACTTGATGTCTGAATATTTTCACAGTAAAAGTTTAAACAAAATCAGATCCTACAAAGTGTAAACGAATCAGTAGAAAAATTCTGACTGTTTAACTTTGAAAGGATGTAAGTTACATAAAGTTTGCGGCTTCTGCTACCACTGAGCCTAAACCAACTCATAACTGACCCTCCAGCAGGTTTTCAGAGGTAACAAATCACACAGGGGTTGACTGACTATCTTTTTCCGACAGAGCAGCTGGTGGATACAAACCTTCTGTCTTTGGGTTGGCGGCACAGCTCCTTACCTCTAGGTCATCAGCGTTCCTTAAAAGTTTAAAAATGGCTTTAAAAATTCACATTTGTTTGAGGGAATGTGAAGTTGAAGAGGTTGGCCAGATTTTAGGAATCCAGTTCTGGTCTTTCATACTATGATACAGTTTTGTTTCTACCATAAGAGGTAATCATAATTAAAGACAGTTCTGGATATATTCCAATTTAATCAGTTCTTGAATAATATGTTCACAATGTATGAAAAGCCAGATGCATTTCACAGATGTGCACTCCCCAAGCACAATTGGCTGGGTCTAGGGACAGTGCTGTGTCCTGTTTATTGGGTTGGTTCCCTGTCCTAAACCAGTAAAAACAGAATTCAAAGGGAGCTCTGGTGACCTAGTAGCAAGAAGCTTCACTGCAATCCCGGAGGTACATGGTTCAAATCCACCAGGTGTTCTGTTGGAGAAAGAAGGGCATTCTCCTCCTGTACCAGTCAGATCTGATTGGATGGTACACACACACAATAATGAAATTTTTTTCTTTTCTTATTGAAATTTTTAAAATTAATTTATTTTTCATTTCAACGAATAATGAATTTTTTTAAAAAAAGATTTAAAAATAGAATTCAAATTAGAGCACGATCTCTGGAATATGCCTTTATATCCTGACTCCTTGGGGGACTTTTGAGATAATGCATCCTATCTCATACAATTAATACTAAGACTGATTTAGACAACACACTGAACCCATAGTAAGCGCAGTATTATGGCAGCCATTAATGATGTAATTATAAGGTTTCCATATTGTTGTTGTTTGTTGTTGAGTACCATTGAGTCAGAACCAACCCAAAGCGGGTTTTTCAGAGGTAGTGAATTACAAGGGAGGAGACTGCCCATCCTTCCCCCCAGAGCAGCTGGTGATTTGAACCTCGTGAGTTCAGAATTGCAGTGCAGGTTCTTACCACTAGGCCACCGGAGCTCCCTAGTTTCTGTATCACTCCAATACACCACTTTAGATTTCAGGACATGTTCCTGCTAAGAGGATCCTTAACAGCAAATGCCCAACATCATTCTCACAGGGCGCCCACACCTAAAACGACAGACTCTTCTCCTTGCATGTTTTCCCTACCACACCACGATGCCTTCATAGACAGCTATTTGGTGGAAAACCCAGAGTTTACCCATCAGTGTGAGTCCATATCTATCCTTTCAGCCCTGGAGGAGTTTCCCATGCAGGTGATTTTAGAGAGGATTAAGCAGAGAGGTGCATACTCAAGGTTGAGGCTGATATCTGTCAGGTCAAAGCAGGAGGAGGCCAGGGAGTTGAGCGAGTACATGCTGGGAGCCAGGCCCCCGGGTGGCCATGCGAACGGGGAGTTGGGGCATTTCAGGGGTCTGGGTGACTTGATAGGCCCTGGAGAGGCGGGGCCGGGGACAGTCAGGAAGATGGTGGCTGGCCTCTTCTTCTCTCCCATGGGCTCACAGAACCCTCTGGCACTGCCCTTGCCTTTGGCCTTGGGGCCTGCCTCATGGGTAATAGGCTCGGCAGAAGCTGTGGTGGAACCGAAGGTGGCTGTGGTGTTCTTGGAGGTTCTCTTGGTGTCAGAAGTGGGATCAGGGGCACATGGCACATCTTCAGGGCTCTGTCCCTGGGATGAGGCTTTGGGGTCCTGGTCACCAGGCACCTTCTTGACAAGCAAAGGGCCTTTCTTTAAGGCTTCATGTCCTGTGTATGGGCTGCCCAGCTCTCGCTCCTCCACACGCAGGAACTGTAAACAAATGAAAGGCTTGCTTTCGGGCTGAGCCCACCACTTCCTCCTCCTCCTCCCCTTCTATTCTCACCTTAACCTCAAGGAGATGGCACCTTCTTTTTCCTGGAGTAACTCTCTCAAAAAGTATCCAACTTAATGACTTTTCACAGACTGTATCCTCCTTGACCTCTCTCTTCCCTAATTGTTCTCTGACC